CAAGGCCTGTGTCGTGGCGCTTGGGGTGCGCCATGGCCGAGAGCCTTGCCGAGGTGCTCACCGTGGCCGGGGGCTTTGCCACGGGCAGAAGACCTGCACCGTGGCCACGGTCTTTGCCAGGGTCTTAAGGCACTCAGCGGGAGCTTGAGGTGTTCGCCATGGCCAAGGCCTTCGCCACGGTCTTCACCGTGGCCTTGAAGCACTCACCATGGCCTTCGTCTTCGCCATGGCCCCAAGGCCCTCACCGGGAGCTTGAGGTGTTCGCCGTGGCCAAGGCCTTTGCCAAGGTCTTCACCATGGCCTTGAAGCACTTGCCATGGTCTTGGTCGTTGCTATGGCCTGAAGGCCGTTGTGAGAGCTTGAGGTGTTCACCATGGCCAAGGCTTTCACCGTGGCCTTGACGTGCTCGCCATGGCCATGGTTTTCGCTATAATCCTGAGACCCTCACTGGGAGCTTGAGGTGTTCACCGTGTTGGTCATGGCCCTTCAAGGCCTTCGCCATCACCTTGAAGCACTCGCCATGGCCACGGTCTTTGCCATGGCTCCAACACCCTCAATGGGAGCTTGAGGTGTTCACCGTGGCCAAGGCTTTCGTTAACGTCTTCGCCATGGCCTTGAGGTGCTTGCCATGGCCAAGGACTTCACCATGGCCCCAAGGTCCTCACTGGGAACCTGAGGTGCTCACTGGGGCCCTGAGGGTCTCACCATGGCCAAGACCCTTGCCAAAGCCTGCATCATAGCCAAGGTCTTCACCATGGCCTTGAGATGCTCACCACGGCCAAGGCCTTTGCCATGGCCCCACGACCTGTACTATGGCCAAGGTCTGTGCCATGGCCCTGAGGCTCCTGCTGGGAACCTAAAGTACTTGCCATGGCCAAGGCCTTCGCCGTGGCCCTCAGGCCTTGTGCTGCAGCCCTGGTGCTTTCACCATGGCTGTAGCCCTTGCCATGGCTCCGAGGTGCTTGCCATCACCAAGACCCTTGCTGTGGACCTGAGGTGCTGACCATGACCAAGCCCCTCGCTGTGGTGCTCACTGTGGCCCAGAGGCGATGGCCATGGCCCTGAAGTTGTTGCTGTGGCTCCTGCCATGGCCCTGGGGTGCTTGCCAAGGCCATGTCCCGGAGGCACTCGCCCTTGCTGTCAACGTGGCCACGAGGCCCTCGCTGTGGCCTTGAGGCGCTCCCCATCGCCCTCAGCCTGGCCCTGAGGTGCTCCTTGTCACCCTCTGTGTGGCCCTGAGGCACTTGCCATGGCCCCGAAGTGCGTGCCGTGACTGAGGTGCTCACCGTGGCCCCGAGGTGCGTGCTGTGACTCTCACCGCGGCCTCTGTCGCGGTCCCAGTGCACGCACCGTGAGCATGACCCTCTCTGCGGCCCCCGTGGTAGCTGGCTGGGGTCCCCGGGTGCCTCTGGTTGGAGAGGGCCCCCTCCCCCCCCACTGCCGCCACCCACCGCTGCCCTTTCCTTTTCTCCCCTCCCAGGTGCTCTCGAGCTGGGGCGAGGGGATGAGGTGCCCCCCTGCCGCGTGGTGTGCCGAAGCGGCTCTTTAGATCCTCCCCGGCCCAAGCCTCCCCTGCCATGGATGCCTCGGGGGCTCTTGCTTCGGCTCCCTCCTCCGCGGCTCCCTCTTGCTCCCGCAGCCCCATGTTCCCCCCAGGAGCTGACAGAGAGGAGTGGGGACCGAGGTTCAATTGTGCCCCTTCCACCTCTGCCGCAGCCTCGCAGGCGATGCCAGCGTCTGGCCGGAAGAGGAAGGCCAACTTCTCCAATGACGAGACTGAGACGCTGGTCTGGAATGTGGTCCGGCATTTCAGCGCCCTGTATGGGTCTGAAGCCCTGCGGGCTCACCCCGTGCGGCGGAAGCAGCTCTGGACCCAAATCCAAAGCCGCGTCAACTTCCTGGGCTACACCGAACGCTCCATCGACGACCTCAAGCACAAGTGGCGCGACCTGCGGTTGGACGTCAAGAAAAAGATCACCTCCAAGAAGCACCTGCCCATGAACCGCGCCGGCGGGCCCCTCCACAAGCCGCGCCTCACGCCCCTGGAGAAGATGGTGGCTTCCAACTTCTTGCAGGGCCACACACACCCGGAGCCCGAAATCATCTTGGACCCAGGTCAGTCGTGGTGGTTCTCTGGGGAGAGGAGAGTTGGAGTGGCAGAGTCCTGTGCTGCGTCCCCACCTGTGCTCTCCGAGGGATGTCCGGCCTGGTAACGTCACCAGGCCGGTCCCCCTGAGCTCCATGGTCTGCCGAGCATTTGTGTTTTGAGCTAGCCAGCGTGGCGTGGATCATGGAAGGAGACATTGGGGTTTTGCTCTCGTACGCGGTTTGTGTCGGGGCTACAGCATCCGGCAGGGCCGGGGTCCTGTCGTGTCTGAGTAGCAAACCACCAGGGTTGGAAACTGCGTGCGCTGGAATTAAAAATCCGCTGTGGAAATGACCTGGGATCCACAGGAACGCCTCAAACTTTGTGGGAGCGGGTCTTTTTTTGGTTTTTTCCTTTCTTTAATTTCATACAGTGCCTGGCCTTGCTGGATACCGTCTAAAGGCAGCCGGTAAAAGACGGGATGGGATTTTATTTCCCCTGTTCCTTTCAGGGTCAGTGTCGCCCGTGGTTAGCTGAGGTCAGAGGGAGCGGGAGCAGCTGCTTCAGTCCAAAGTCACACCGTACTCCCGCAGCGTCTCGCTCCCGGGTGCCATGCGTGGCCAGGGGGAGCCAGTGGGTCCCTGGGCAGGCCGTGCCTTCTCGATGGGGCTGTGCCTTTGAACCCTCCATCGCCGGCAGAGCAAGCCTGTGCCTTGGCCTCCCGCAGAGCGCAGAGCCCTCTTGCCGGTCCCGCTCTTGGGTGATGCCTGTTTAGCTCAAATGCCCAAGAGATGCTCGGGGGGAAGATGCTGGTGAAAGACCTGACATCGGTCTTGCAGTAGTGCTGAGCTGGGCCCACGGGTACACCCCAACTGGGCTTTGTTACTGGCCAGGAGGCAAATACCCGCCCTGCCCTTTCATTTCCACAAAGGGGTTGTGTCCCCAGGGGTCACCAGGGTGAGTTGTTCCTGCTCCTGCCTCTGCTCTTTGATTTCAGGTCGGCCCGTCAGGTTTCGCATGCGACGAGTGGGCGGCGTGGGTCTCGTTTCACTCGGTTCAGGCTCGGGCTGTCTCTGAACCAGACGCCCGTCTCGCTGCAAAGCAGAAAAGCTCTGGGCTGGAGGAAGAAGTCCTGCGGGACATTTAGGGGATGCCAGTGCCCTCGGGGCTGGGCGAGTTCAGGATGGTCCTGAGGACGAGCGATCGCACCGGCCAGCCTTGCAGGAGGAGCGTCTGCGCCTCAGTTCAACTGTCGTCCCCCCCTCAGCGTCGCTCCCCCTGCAGATTCCCTTGGGACCCTTCTTCTGGGGAGCCCCATCCGCCCTTCCGTGGGGGCACGTGAGCCGCCGGTGCCGTCGTCGCAGCGGCTGAGGCTGGATTCTCTCTGTCCCGCAGATCTGTTCTTCCCCGGCGCGACCAAGCAGTCCTTCATGCACCTGCAGCCCGGCGTGAGCCACCCCAGCATCTACATCGACACCAACGGGCAGCCCTCGTCCCTGCCGGACGTGGAGGGCTCCGCCGTGCCCCGGCTGGCAGTGCAGAGCCCCGACCCCTCCGTCATCTGCGAGTACAGCCGAGGGGAAGGACAGAGCAGTTCGGGTAAGGCTGCGGGAGAAGCTGCTGCAGGGCTTTAGGGGGCGGAGGGAGGGCGCAG